TTAAACATATATATAAGATTAAACATATATATAAGATTAAACATATATATAAGATTAAATATATATATATATTGAACCAAGCACCTTACAAGTGCCAGGCAAGCGCTCTACCACTGAGCCCCAGCCCCAGCCCAGCATTTGCTTTTAAATTTGGGCTGAGCCTTAAGGAAAAAAGTTACACCTGCTGAAATTTTAGGTTGCCAGAAGGCAAGCAGGGAAAATGTTTGGGCTCGGTAGCAAGAAAGAGAGAGAGAGACAGAAAGCATGCGTGTGCACGTGAGCACTTCCTGGCTCCTCTCAAATCACCAGGCAGCACCTGCCCACTCCACCCAGGTGCAGCCCCTTCCCCAAAGCTTATTCCTGCGGTGCCTCCTCCAGGCGCGGCGCCCTCTCCCATCCTTGCACACTGCTTGCCTAGGTCCCTGCATTCCAGAGGTCCCAGTGACCTCCACAGACAGGGACCAAAAGGGCAGGCTGCAGCAGGAAGGGAGGAAGGGAGGAAGGGAGGGAGGGAGGGAAGGGGAAAGCCTGGCAGCCAGCAAGCCCAGGTGGCCAAAGGGACTCCTCAGCCTTCCTGGCTCTGGGAGGCTGCCAGCAGGCTTCTCACCCTCCCATCTCAGCCCCACCCTCCCCCAGCTGTGTGTCCTGGTCTTATCTGAGCCACCAGCCCAGCCCCACCTCACACCACCCACCCTCTCATCTCCAACCAGAGCCAGGCAGCTCCCTGGGAAGTAGGTGATAAGACTCGCCCTGGGGGGGGGGGACCTCTAAATTTGTGCCCACCCATCTCCAAGCCTTTTGTTCCAGGCAGGGGTGAATCCAGACTGTGGAGCCTAGACTTGGAGAAAGGAAGGCAACCCCTGCAAGCCCTACACCCCAACACCAGGCAGAACGGGAGCCTTAGGCCTCAGGGTCTCTAATCCAACCTTTGCTGACATCCTCTGCCAGCCACTACCTGCCTGTGCCAGCGCCCGTGCTAGGGACTTTCACATGTCCCCAATGAACTCTTGAGATGGGGCTGAGAGGGTGACTGGCCAAATGCCACCCCAGGGGAGTCAAGGTGGAATTCCTACCCAGGCCAGCTGGGGCCAAAGCCAATGAATGCTTTTGCAATGAACTTCCCCCAAAGACACTTTAATCTGAACTTGGAACTTGGTCTGCCAATCTCACTTGTAGAACAGGAGTGGGGAGTCTGCGGGGGTGGGGGTGGGGGTGGCTCTGTGCAACCAGGCAGGGTCAGCCAGGCTGGAGGCCTCAAGATAGTAAGGGAGTTAGGAAATGAGGTGAGTTGTCCCAGTGGACTGGGGTCCGGCTGGCCCTGCCCTGCCCTGTCTCTGTGTCATTCTGTGTGACTGCCTTGCCCCCTCCCTTTCTTCAGTCTTCCTGCCTCTCCTTCCCTTTTGACTTTCTTTCTTCATCTTTCTCCCTCCTTCTCTCTTTCCCTTTCACCCTCTCCCTCTCCCCCTTTGGGCCCCACCTCCGCAGTTGCTGTGGCAACAACTAAATGCCAGAAATAAAGGCAGGATCCAGCTAGGTCACCAGTTCCCAAAACAGCATCCCTGGGTGGGGAGGAGAAGGGCAAGGGCCGGGAGCAGACCACGGGGCAGGGACCAGGCACACTCCAGTGGCAGTGTGTGTGTATATGTGCTGGAGAGTGGGGCAGGACACAGGACAAGGGAGGGCTTGGCCTGCTCTAGGCCAATGGCTCACCAGGTTGTCCCCTACTGAAACCAGGCCTGAACCCCCGATCTTTCTAAGGATGGCAAACCTGGGCACTTCTTCTTCTTTCTCATTTTCTTTCTCACCCCAGGCAACTTTTAAAATCCTTGTTCTGCCTGCTAAGACTACGGTCCCTAGACACTCTCACCCCGAACAGGATCAGGCAGGGGCACTGTGAGCCCAGAGAACACCTGTCCAGGCTCTGCCCTACTATTCTTGATGACCACAGGATTAAGCCTCTGGCTGCCTTCTCCTCTGACCCCCATAAATGTATATCTACTTGTCCATTTTTTCTTGGGTCTCTCTCTTCCCTGGGTCTGAAGATCATCTCTCTACACCTCCCTTTGACAAGGTCCCCATTTTCCAGTTCCCCAGCCCCCTGAGCTTGCTTGGTCCCAACCTGCTCCTGCTCCAGCCCCTGCTTATATCTGGTCCCCATGTGCAAACGAGATGGGAAGAGCTGTGGGAGAGGGTGGGAGCTTTCACAGTAAATTCAGCTTTTGAAATTCTGGGAATATCCCTGTTCTCTCGTGAGCTCCGAAAGAATAGTCCTGCAGATATCCGACCACCAGAGGACACCCTGGCCCAGGTGTTGACCAGGCCACAGAGAGGCTGGCAGCACTGAGACAAGACTTACAGGTGCACCTGGGTAGCACAGCCCCGCTCTGACAACACGGTTACAGACAGAACACGTGCACACAGGTGCACGCAGGGAGACTCCACAGCCCTGCTTGCCAGATCACGCCCCCACTCTCCCAGCAAGGCCCCCACACAGCGACACATGGCGCTGAGGACACCCACTTGAACCCACCCACTGATCCTCCCCTTGGCAACCGTTCTCTACCTTCAGCCCCCCACACCACATGCTGCCACCATCCCTGAGCTGTGCACGTGTACAAGTAACAACACTCACAGGACCTACCAGCCCAGTCCCTGAAGCCTCCCCATGTCCCCCATTCCCACAGCTGCCTTCTAGACTGGTCCCATCCCCTGACTCTCATAACCCAGCAACCAGTCTCCTGGGAGGGAACCACCAGGTCCTCTTGCCCGAGAAAGGAAGCTCGTCCTGCCAGGCCTAGGAACCTCTAGAGCTGGGATGGTGACCCCAGGACCCTGGAAGGGCCCGTGTCTGCTCAGCTCCCAGCTCCTTCAGGCCCAATTGTAACCAGTACCCAGTACCCGGAGAGCAGAGGCCAGGCCTACAGCCGCGCCCTGCCACTAGCCTCATTCTTCACTGGTCCCCACCCAGCCTGGCCAGCCAGAGTTAGGAGGGGCTCAGGAACAGACTCCAGATCAACAGCATAGGGGCCCCTAAGTGGCCCTCTCCCACCTGGAGGACACCTGGTGGGGGGGTAGCTGGCTGTGGCTTCTTCCATTATTCAGCAAGGAGGGAACTGCTCCCTTGCCCAACGCATGCCCCCACATCCCTAGGATTT